AAGACTTTGAAGAATGTTATGAGCATTTATGTTACAAAACCTTAGCATTAGAAACATCTTGAATTTTTACAAATCCTGGGAAGTATTTAAGGATAAGAAACAAATTTACAAACCACCCAAAAGTTACAAAATACAGGACAAACAAGTTAAAATCAAGTTCTATTAAATCTCAAATTATAATTGTTTTTTTTTAAAATATTTCTATAGAATGTAAATTGGTGCAGAAATTCTATAGAAAAGGTAAGATTTCCTAAAAAACTAAAATTGGAAATATCTTATGATCCAATCATACCACTTCTAGGTATTTATCTGAAGAATATGGAAATACTAATACAAAATGTTTATGCGCCCCTATGTTCACAGCAGCATTATTCACAATAGACATGGAATCAAACTCAGTTCCCATAAACAGATAACTGGATAGAAAAATTGTGGTATAAATACTCAGTGGAATATTATTCAGTCTTTAAAAAAGATGAAATAGTGCTTTGGGGGGCAATATGAATACATCTTGAGGTAATTATATTAAGTGAAAAAAGTCAGAAAGTAGAAGATAATTACCAGATAGTTTCACTCATTTGCAGAATATAACTAATGAAAGAAAACAAACTGGCACAACAAAACAAAAATAGCTGAAAACTAGTGGTTGCCAGAGGGGCGGGAAAAGAAGTGTGTATGGAGGAGGTAAGGTGAGTGTATTGACACTGGAATTTTGGTGGAGGGCAAGGGAAGTGTGCATACATGTTGAAGTGTGAAGTATACTCACAAAGTTACATGGCTTTGTAAATGAATGGCAAGTCAATAAAATTTGATTAGAAAAAAAGATAAAAAACCTAAAAATAAAAAATATTCTTATTCCAGACTTAGAAGTTCAAAAGTGAGAACACCTTTGTTACTGTTTCTTAGAACATATTCTTCGCAGTCATAATAGTTTCTCTAACATCCAAAGTTAGACGATATTATACTGTTTTTATCATACTAAAAACTTCTTAGGAGCAGCTAATATACTTTCCCTATAAATTCTCCACCTGATTGCTCCCAACAGTGGGCAGAAAACCTATCCATTACACTGTTAAGAAGGCCACAAGACTGCCTACTAGTAAGTTATTCTTTAAATGTCTGCCTTTGTTCCTTCTGGATCATGACCTCTGCTCCTGTTTCTGTCTTCATAAGAAAAGTATCCATTTACAGGTACCATTTTCTGTGAAGAGCTTACCTTTTGAGTCTAAGAAAATTACTATCATATAGGAGATTGCATTCCAGTCCTGCAATGATAACTACTGATTGAGAAACTACAATCACTTAATATACACATAAGCCAATGATAATGGGTGATTATATTGCAATAATTAAATTATAAGTAATAAAGAATAAACATAACTAGAAATGTACAGGCTGTATATAAATAATTCCATTTATAGGTATATAAAGAATCTAAAATAAAACATCAATGGAGAGGCAAGATCCATATGACTGTGGACATAAAGAATCAATGCTAGGCTGGAGAACATGGTGAAACAAGAAGCATGAGGAATCTGTCTCCCAACCTGGACAACCATTACAGGAGCAGCATCTGATGGAAGTATTTTGGAATTCTGGAGTCTATTAAAAGCCTACAATTTCTAGACTGCTTGGACTGTAAATAGCAGTTAATTTGTCTAATTCAGCTCAGTGGTCTGCAGCAGCTACCTATCTTCCTCTTCCTTCATTCCACCTCTAAGTGGAAGGTAATTGTGCATAAGTTTCAGGAGCAGGATGAACACCGTCTGGGGGGGATACAGGATGTGCAATAAGAAACCCTAGCCTCCAAATGTCACAGATCTATTTCTGACCACCGATTCTTCTTCTGTTTAGAAGGGCAGACACAAAGGCAGGGAGCTACTGTTGTTGCATCTCCCATCATTATTGCTAGAAAGGTGTCCCTTTCTAGCAGAAGTGACTGCCAGGGAATTTAAAGGGTTAAAGCCCCTTTTTCTGCCTTCATTTTTCTTTTTCCTCACTTTGGGAGTTAGATATTAAAGACTACTAAAAGTAGGGCCTCCCTGGTGGCGCAGCGGTTGAGAGCTGGGTTGCGAAGCTGCCCGCAGCCTCTGCAGCGCCAGTTCGATCCCCGGCTGCTCCCCGGCCACCTAAGGAGGGTCCCACATGGCGCGCAGACCTCTCCTGCCGCCCGCTGCTCCCCTCAGCAGTGTACTGCGGTCCTTCTGCCTGCTCTGCTCCCTGCTCTGGCTCTGGTGAATTCTCTCACCCTCCCGCACTTCTGACTGTACCCAGTGCTTGTATAAACAAATAAATAAATAAATAAATAAATAAATCTTAAAAAAAAAAAAAAAAAAAAATTAAAAGCAACCACATGTACAGGGGAAATTACAAAGTGACTGCATGACCAGGGGATGGTACCAGGCTCAGAGAAGACCCAAAAAAAACCTTCAGCTTACTTTCAGGAGGATCCTTGACAAGAGAAAATCTAAAGCTATCAAAAGTAAAACTCCAGAAATCCAAAGGAAAGGGGAGAAACTGACTTCCAAAGCTATGACATCATTAGGTTCAAATGCTCACAATTTTCAACCAAAAATCACAAGGTATACAAAAAACCAAAGTCACTCAAAGGTAAAATAAAATCCAGTGAAAAGTGTCCCCAAGAAAGACAAGATGGCAGAGTTTTTGTACCAGGAAAAAACTTGAAAATAAGTATTAAACATGCTTACAGAACTTAGAGAAGACAAAAGCAAAGTCAAGGGAAAAAATAAGAACAAAATGGAAATATTAATAAAGATTTAGAAAACTGAAAAGAAGCCAAAAAGAAATACTGGAGCTATTAAGTACAAGTGCTGAGGAAAAAAAAAAAAAAGCCTTGCCAAAGCAGGGAGGTGGGAAAGGAAAGAATCTAAGGACGAAGTGTAACATCTTATTTTTCACTACATTTTTTTTGTGTGTGTTTTTAATCTCTCCACTCAACTGCTGCCACCCTGGGCTAAATCACTTCTTTTTCTCTCATCCTCTCCTCCTCTCTATCACCTACTGCAACAGCCTCCTAATCAACTTTACCTTTCTTCCCTCTTCTTGTTCTCCAATCCACTGTTAGTAGTAACCAGAATGATCTTTCAACATTTGAATCCGATCATGTCACTCACTGGCTCAAACTCCACATCTCTCTTCCTAGTATTTGGTTTTCACAGATCAAAAATTAAGAACCAGAAATCCATAAACTGAACACATTACTGTTTCCTTCGTGTTCTAACTCTGGTCTCCTTGCAGGTTCCTCAAGCACGGTAAGGTTTTTGCACTTGCTATTCTCTGTTGGGGACATGTTTCACCCAATTACAGGGTTCACTCCCAACTCCTTCAAGTCTTCACTTCTCAAGGGTCTTATTGTTTTTTTTTTTTTTGTTTTTTTTAAAGATTTATTTATTTATTTATACAAGCACTGGGTACAGTCAGAAGTGCGGGAGGGTGAGAGAATTCACCAGAGTCAGAGCGGGGAGCAGAGCAGGCAGACTGACGAAGTACACTGCTGAGGGGAGCAGAGGGCGGCAGGAGAGGTCTGAGCGCCATGTGGGACCCTCACCTGGTGGCCGAGGATCGAACCAGTGCTGCAGAGGCTGCTCAACCGCTGCACCACCGGGGAGGCCCTTAAGGGTCTTACTGTTAACCACAGAACTTATTCGTACCTAACACGTATTTTACTTATCTTGTTTGTTACTGCTTTTCTTCATCTTGATCAATGATCCTCAAACCTGAGTCTGCATCACAATTGCTGAAAGACTTATTAAAAAAAGTTTCTGATTTTGGGGGAGAAGACTAGAGTAAAAGTTTGCATTTCTATCTAGTTCTCAGGTGATGCTGATCTTGCAGATCCAAAACAACGACTTTGAGAATCAATAAATCAATGTTCTACAATGTAAACTCCATGAGACAAATGTTTTTTATCTACTGCTACATTTCTGCAACTGGGCATAGTAGTTAGGCAGTGAGGCAGGAAAACAATTTTAGAAGCTCCCTACTCTGCTCCCTCTGTGCATTCTCTGATTTGGTCATATGGCAATAAAAAATTACTGAGCCCTGTAAAAGATAAATTATATGACTAATGGCATATAATTGTGTTCCCTCACCATCAAAAAAAAAAGAAAAAGATTGGGGTTTAGGTCTTAACTCCAGTACCTATGAATGTGACCTTATTGCAGATGCGTATGTCATTAGGATGGACCCCAGTCCAACATGACTGGTAGGTACCCTAATGAGAAGGGGAGAACACCGTAGGCACAGACACATACATGGAGAATGCCATGTGACAACTGAAGTAGAGACTGAAGTGATACCGCTGCCTGTCAAGGAATGCCAAGAACTGCCGTGACACAGAAAGCTAAAAAGCATGGAACAGATTCTTCCTTTCAACTTGGAAAGCATGGCACCACTAACTTCTTGACTTCAGACTTCTTGGCTTCCAAAACGCCCAGACAATAAACTTCTCTTGTTTCAAATTATCCAGTTTGCTGTACTTTGTTACAGCAATCCTAGAAACTAATGACCAAGAATGCAAATGACTACACCAAGCTGCACATAATTTCAAAGTCTGTCCTTTATCCAACGTCTACCAATGTAAAAATGCACTTGGAGTTCTCATAGTAAATCAATCACACTTCCTGTTTCAGAATCTCCTCACTTGAATATTGTGCTCTCAATATGCTCGCAACTCATATCACAGGTTCTAGATAATTTCTCCTACTTTTTTATGGGCTTCCCTATTTCATAAATACCAGTTGTTTTTATTTTTTTTTCCTCCAAGGTCACTTCCTATTTTCAAACTACAGATTTTGGCATGTGTTTCCCCCTTAGACATTTGAACAGCTGCAAAGTGAAAATTTAAGTACTTATTAAATATACATTTAGATTTTAAGATAACATGCTCTCTTTCTTTTTTAAGGAACAGTTCTCCGCTTTCTTTTTAAAAATAAATGATCTTACTCCCACTGAATATTGTATAAAAAATTTTGTCATACCTGTTTTTTCACCTTATCTGTACAGTAGCTGTTTTACACAATTCTCAACAAAGCTTCTAAAAGCCACTTGATGGTACTGTGAAGCTTAAAATTTTAAATGAACCTGAAATGAATGTCACAGGAATTCCAATCAATGATTTCACCAAAGACTATTTTAAACTACCATGTTTTTTTATGCAGTTGATAAGCTGAATAATGCAATTTTCATCTTGGTGAGGCCATGTTAATGTACAAATAGTGACACACTTTTGTGTTTCTATGACTAGGGGAACATTAATTCATTTTACGTACTCCTACATAAATTCGTGATAAAATTCTAAGATTTTGTGGATAGTGAATTCACTCAGAAATAGACTAGTATAATCTACACTCCAAAATTTTTTTAAGAAAAATGATAGCTATCTTAAAATGCTAAATCCTAAGTGAAAAGATATACACACATTCTATACAAACTTAGAAGACACTAATAGTTCTCCACTAGTATTCATTTCCTGTGAAGAATTTTAAATGAGTCATACTTTCGATACTATATCACCAGTTTATTTAACATATGGTAAAAGAAGTAGTTTGGTAACTTGAAACTTTATATTCATTTCAATTGCACATCAAAATATATACTAAGGCCGGTATAAATTACGTAGTCTACTTACAACACACAGTATCATGTGTGTAAGATTCATCTGACATTGATCTGATAAAGGGTGTGGAAAGCAGTCTTCTCAATACCTTCTAGAAACTCACATTCCCAGTCTAAATATACACCAGAATTATACAACTAGAAATTATGCATGACTCTTTTTTTTTTGGTATCCAGGCAGAGAGATCTATGTTCTGTTCCCAACTTTTGGTAAATGAACATATTTCTGCCCCGTACAAGTTGACCTAATGATTCACCGGGAGGCACGAAAGTTCTAACTTAATAACTATGTTCTACATTCATAGAGAAATCGATTCATGGTTGGCATAAGTTTCCAATCTGAAAAGCGTTAAAAGAATACATCACATCTATAACGAATTTCGAGAACTAGACTATAAACCTAGCCTACCTTTTCCAGAACAAATTTTGTTAGTCTGTGATTTTTTTTTTAAAGGATGAGGGTAAGAGCTGGGGAAGACGAATCCCCCAAATCACGTTCATCTTTTAAACGGACACAATTTCCCCACAGTCAAGGCTGTACAGCCCCCCCCCACCCCCACCCCCGTCAGCACCCACCGATCTCATCCCACTCTGTCGGGGAGGAGAGGGATCAAGGAAAAAACTCCCTCTGTCCTCCTCCTCCACACAAGTGCTCAAACACACCTGGCTCGCTCTCGATGCCAAAGGCAGGGAAATTTTGAAAAGTAGATGAGCCGCAGACAAACCTGATCCAAGAAGGCACCGAGGAAGTCCCCCCGGCACTTGCGCACGGCGCCGGCTCGCGGGGCGCTGGGGCGGCGCGGGAGCCCCACAGTCCCGGCAGAAGTGCCCACACCTGAGCGCCGCGTCCCACGGGAGCCAGAGGTCAGAGGGGCGGAGAGGGGCGGAGAGGGGCGGGGAGGGCCGGCGGGGCAGGACCGCTAAGCGGCGGGGCTCCGGGCTGAGGCTCGGCTCGCGCCTCTCTGACGCCACCCGACGGCGGGCAGGGCGCGCGAAGGGGAGGGAGAGGGCAAAAGGAAGGACCCGCGCCCAGGAGGCGGCTGCAAGTCAACAAAATAGCGGCCCGGAGGCGGGGGCCCCTCCGGAGCGCGCGGGGGCGCGGGAGCAGGAAATCCCCCGCGCCCCCCTCAGGCGCCCGCACGCCCCCAGCCCCAGAGGCGACCCCGAGACACCTGTTTGGCAGCGCCCGGGCTGGTTTCCGCGCGCCTCGCCGCCCCGGCCCCCGACCCAGCGCGCACACGCGGAGACGGGGAAGGCGAGGAGAGCCGAGACCTTGCACCCGAGCCGGAGGCGCCTCCGCCGGCCGTACCTGACATCAGCGGCGGGCTCCCTCTCGCCCCTCCTGGGGGCGGCAGAGGGGGACAACACGCGACCCACGAACTTCGCTCCTCTCCACAGCCGCAGAAGTGGCTGGTGGCCAAGACTCGGCGCCGCCCGCTGCCGCCCAGATTATTGCCGGGCGGCGGCGGCGGCCGAGGCGGGCCCAGCGCGCGCTCCTGCCCGCTCGCTCCTCCCCTCCCCGCAGCGCGTCCAGGCCGCGGCCCGCCAACGGCGCAGCCGCCACCCAGAGGCCCGCCGCGAGCTCTGACGTAGCCGCGGCCGCACCAGCCCCGGGGGAGGGCGGAGCGAGAGGGGGCAGGGCGGGGGGCGGGGAGACGGCGACGTGCGGGCGCGGGGATTGGCCGTCGACGGCACGCTCCGCCCCTCTGCGAAGGGGTCTGGGAAGTCCGGGCTTCTGTGTTGGGCTGTGGCGGCTCACGTGCGGCTGCTCGCGGCCGGCCTCCGCTTTCCTGGCCCCCGCCCCCCGCCCCCCCGCGTAGGGCCGCGCGCCGGCTTCCGCACCCCGAGAACGACCGGAGCGGCGGAACTGCTGGGGTTGGAGCTGGGAGTGCCCGGGGGACCTTTGAGGGACAGGTTCGAGCCCAGCAGGAGTCTTTTGGTCTCTGGTTTGCTCTTTACCAGCTCTTCCCCCCCACCCCCACCCCTGCCCGTTCTCCGCCCCTGCCCTTCGTGCTCCCTCCGCAGTCTCGCCCTGGCCTTAGAGGAAGGAAGTACAGCGAGATGAATGTGGAAAGGGGTTGGGGTAACTAGGTGTGTGACCCAGGAAGGGCTGAAAAACCACTTAATGGTACCACAGAGCTTTCTGTGGGCACACCTGGTCTTTGGCTCTGTCATTACTTGGGTGCCATCAGGTAATGGCAGAAAGAGCTTCTGCGGGACATAGGAAAACTCATTTCCCCTTTAGTTGACAAACGGAATTTGAATCAGAAAGCCGTCTTTGGATTAGATGGGGGAGCCTGCCATCCTTTGAGGCGACTCCACAGCAGTCAGGAGATGGAGGTAAGGTCTTGGCTTTATTGGTGTTAACCATCACTTGCCTAGGGACGAAAGCTACTTGCTTCCCTTTAATACCCTGCTGAAGTAGTTCTTTAGCGCCTTTCAGCATGGCCCTAGGCGCGTGGACCCTGGACTGGATTCTTGGTCCCTCCATTAGCTGTGTAACTGGCAAGTTACTTATCCACATTCCTGGAAGAAACACTAAACAAGAATGCAAGTTACTGTTGCCTTGCCTTTCATTTGTTTAGTTTCAGCTCTAGTGTAGTTTGCCAGGATATGCCACTAATAGATTCAAAAGAATCTTCAAAAGAATTTTAAAATCTCTAGTGATTATTATGCAAACCTCTTATTTTTGATGAGAGAAACTGAAGTAAAATGAGATGAGAAAACTGAAGTCAAAAGGTACACTGATAGGCCTTGCTAGAAAAGAAGTGCCAGTATCCTGATGCCCGGGTTAGTGCTCTTGCCCTAGCCGGTGCCTCCCGGCTTCTCTCCTTTCTCTTCCTCAGCCTGTTTATAGTTATTGCCCAGTGTAGTGCCAGGAAGGGCACAGAGCACGTTTCCTATGATTGCAGCAGATGGGTAAAGCAAAGTCCTGGAGCCCTCGGTGGCTTTCTCAGGCTTTTATTGAGCTTTTACAGGTAGTGTAGCAACCAGGGTCGGGGTGGGGGTGGGGGGCGGTGTTGTAGGAGGCCGGTAGGCCTCTAAGCCCCTGGCAAGTCTTTACTCTGGGCTTTCTCTGGCATTCTTTCTCCCTTTCTCTCTCCTGCCTTTCTTCCAGAATATCTCAATACTACCATGATGGCCCACAGAAGTAAACAACACAGCTTACAACACTAACAACTGCAGGTGCCCCATCAGGCAGGACAATCCTAATGGCAGGAGAGTAGAAAAGCTTGAAAACCATTTACCCTACAATCCACCCCCTCTGGGTGTTTTGCTATATAGTCTATATATGTTACATACAGTTTTCCCTTAATAAACATAAACACTGCAGCCATGGCTCACAAAAGAAAATACAACTGACTAATGAAACAAGAGAACACAAATTAAGTCCAGGCATGGCACCAACCCAGTGGCAAAAGACGATTATTGGCACCAGCAGATGATCCACCAGTTCTGCTGCCCATGGCCCTGCTCATTCGAAGGAGGGGAATCACTCAGGCATCTGGTGTCACATGCCAGAAGCTGTCAGGCGTCCTGGCCTTCTCTGGCTGTGGTCTCCGCCACAAGCCACACACCGCATCCACCCCTGGGGATGCACTCATTCTTGGAATTGGCGATGTTGCCAATTGGGGATTGGGGAGTAATCGCCCAATCCTCAGGGTTTTCTGTGTGCAGTCACTCCAACACTGGGCTCTCATAGCCACCAATGTGAGATGCAGGCCCCTGCACTCAGGCCAACCCATTGCACATGCACATAGGTTGGGGATCTGTGGATGCAAGCTCCACATGCGGCCTCTCTTGGGTCCCCTCTTTGGCTGTGGGCTCCACCACAAGCCACATTCCCCACCCGTCCCCCAAGGATGGGTTCCTTAGCCCCTCACCCTCACTCAACAGTGAGCAGGGCATCACTCACCAGTGATTTTAAGAGACTCACTGGCCTTCATCAACATACTTAGGCTGCTTAACAGCCGCTCAGGGCCTCCCAATCTCAGCACCAGCTTTTGCCTTTCTAAGTTGGCTTTTGATACATCTCGGCTGCCTGGCTGCAAAAAACTTGGCCAGGACTTCCTCCTCAGCCAATGTTGGGCTCTTCTTATGCCTGCCCCTTCCTCTACTCTGGCCATTGTCCCTCAGGGCTGTGGCCGTAGGATTGCTGGGCAGTACACAGGCTGCTTTTGGCCACCGAGGCCCACTGGCCACCCCCAGAGTCCCATCTCCTAGGGTGTATAAACAATACCATCCTCCCCCAGGGTCCCCAAAACATAACTTTACCCTGCCAAAATTCCTCCGCCTTCTGGCAGGATGGCCAGTCCAAGTCCATCAGTTGTTCCTTGTGTCAGCACTGGCGAGCTCCGAATCGTCGTCCTGTCTTCTCCGATGAATCTGCTGCCTCAGGGGTCGTTGGCTGGTCCTCACGGGCCATCTCCTTCTCCACTCGAGGTCTCGTCCTGCAGCTCCCAGACTTTGTCCACCTCCTGTGCTCCTGCAGCGTCTCTAGCCCTTCCTGCAGCTCCTGGACTTAGGTCACCTCCTGTGCTGCCATGGCACGTCCAGCGTTGTCACAGGCAAACACAATCTGCTCCTCCTCAGTCCCTCCTGAGGCCTTCAGAGGGCTCCATACCTGTCTGCATCAAATCATTCTGCCGAATTACACCAATTGTAGGGGCAGGAAGGGCACAGAGCAAGCAGCTTGCCTACGATAGGAGCAGACAGGTAAAGGAGAGTCCTGGAGCCCTCAGTGGCTTTCTCAGGCTTTTATTGAGCTTTTACATGTAGTGCAGCAACCAGGTACATGGCAGACCTCCCAGCCCCTGGGGAATCTTCAGTCTGTACTGGGCTCTCTGGCGCTCTTTCACGGCTCTTTCACCCCTTCCCTCACCTGCCTCTCTTCTGCTTCTGCCTCTTAGTGACTATCTCAATACTGCAGTGATGGCCCACAGACTTAAGCACCATAACTTATAACAATGTAACAAAATGCATGTGCCCCATCAGGCAGGGCAATACTAATGGCAGGAGGGCAGAAAAGCCTGAAAACCATCTACCCTAAACCCAGTCTCACCTACTTCCTCTCCAAATCTACTGTAAGACAGGGAAAGGACACCCTTTCAAAAGTCACAGCTTCCAAATGGCAAAACAAACAAACCTCTAGATCCCTATCTCATTTTACTTTTATTGAAAGTTATAATGATTAAGGAGTAACATTTTTTCAGTGAGTAAAGATAAGGAAACGTCCAAGGATAAGCTCAGGAACAGCATGTCTAAGAAAATTGCTGGCAAGAAGTATGTTGATATGAACAATCAGATCAAATCAACACTCTTGGATTTTTTAGAAAATAGCTGTTTATTCATGGAAATGATTCACATTCATTCAAACAAATACAAAAAATATTGTCCAAATACCATAATCCAGAGATAACCGTCTTTAAAAGTCCATGTTACAGTCCTACAGACATGTCCACAACAAAAACAAACAAAAGCATTAATAGTTATAAAACTGAATCTTTTTATGTTCCCAGTTCTTCACTATATGTCATAAATAACATTTTCAAAAGTTGCATAGGGGCTATTACATGGATGTACCATCATTTAGCCAGGATTTTGTTAATTGAAATTTGTTTCTACCCCCCCCCCAAATTTTTACTGTTATAAGCAACTCTTTGATAAATTCCCTTATGCATGAACCTTTGCAAAATTGAAGTTACCAATTTGGATAACTTCTTAGTAAGGTCGTTGATATCAACCAATTCTTGCACATTATAAACTAGAAAAAAGAAAGTTGTGGTTACTTTAAAAGATATAATTTGTATATGGAACTCAGAATGCCCAGATCCTCCTGTTTGAAATACAGGTAAACCTCAGACTGTCTGGTATAATGTTTCAATAATAATATGTCAGAGAATGGAACAGAATATATGTGGTTAAGGCTGCTTGTTGCAGGGAGGTAGACGTTGCTAGCAGTTTATTTAATTTTTGATTTTTTAAAATTTTTTGTCACTTTATTAAGGTAACTTTGGTTTACAACACTGTATATGATTTAGGGGAATGTGTTCATATCTATCTTCACCCCATACCCACCACCAAAGCACCCCCCTGGACCAATTGGTGCCCTCTGCACTTTATGCCCCCATGCGATCCCTCTACTAGCCTCGATGCTGCAGCCATATTTCTGGGGTTTGTTTGGTTTTAGTTCTATTCTTTTGTTTTGTTTCTTAATATTGCATATATGAATGAAATCACGTGGTATTTGTCTTTCTTCTTATGACTTATTTCACTTAGCATAATCCCCTCCACTTCCATCCATTTTGTGGCAAATGGCAATATTTCATTTATTTTATAGCTGATATCAACCAATTGTTGTATATATACCACATCTTATTCTGCTCGTTTGTTGTTGGGCACTTACATTGTTTCCAAAACTTGATGATTGTAAATAATGCTGCATTAAACATAGGATGCATATATTCATTC